CTCTAAAAATTAAAAAAAATAAAAAAATAAAAGAATTCTAAATAATTACTTAAAACACCACTGTTTTGTGTGTCCCAGAATGGGGAGCATTGATTTAGTTTAACTTCTTCCTTTTACAGGGGAGAGATTTAAAGCCCAGGAAGAATAAATGACTTGTCCAAGCCCAGAAAGCATAAGTGACTTGCCCAAGATCACGTAACTATTTGTGGCAAAACAGGGATTAGAACTCATGGCCCTTGACCCCCCATCCCAGTGTGTTTTCTCCTCTGTACGGTTCAAATTTCATTTGTGCTAACAAAAGCAAGAGAACTACTAAGGACTTGCTGTGTTACTCCGATAGTTTCCCATTCCAGCAGTCTGCTCAGAACGACCAGTGTCATTTGCCCGAAAACAAAAGCACTTCCCCTGGTCCCTTGATCTGTGTTGTCCTTCATTCTCTGTCTCAGGTCACTGTGTAGTGGGAGGGAAGGTCTTCTACCCAGGCTCTTCAGATTTCCAATGACTCATGCATCCCCTGGCTCTCAGAACTGGGCTAGGAGTGCCCAGTAGTATAACCCTGTCCTAGCTCAGTGCAAGCATTCCAAAGTTCAGAATTTAAAGAAGGAAATGACACGAAAGCCAACCTGTAGAGGGTTCCAGAAAGGTCCTGAAGAATATGGACACAGAGCTTGAAACTTTATGTATAAATGCCCATGTATTTTGCAAAGCAGGCAAGGAACTTCGCTGATATAAGGCATAACAGGGAAGCAATCTCATCCGCTTGGCAGGCTTTTTCTCGAGGCATCTGTGGTCTTATTAATAATATTGACAGCTGGCCAGGCGCGGTGGCTCACCCCTGTCATCCCAGCACTCTGGGAGGCCGAGGCAGGAGGATCGCTTGAGCTCAGGATTTCAAAACCAGCCTGAGCAAGAGCGAGACCCCATCTCTACTATAAATAGAAAGAAATTAATTGGCCAACTAGAAATATATATAGAAAAAATGAGCCGGGCATGGTGGCGCATGCCTGTAGTCCCAGCTACTCGGGAGGCTGAGGCAGGAGGATCGCTTGAGCCCAGGAGTTGGAGGTTGCTGTGAGCTAGGCTGATGCCACGGCACTCACTCTAGCCTGGGCAACAGAGTGAAACTCTGTCTCAAAAAAAAAAAAAAAAAAAGGCTATTGACGTGGAGAGAGGTTAGGGGACTTGCCTAATGTCACACTCGGAGTGTCAGAACTGGGATTGACACACGGATGCCTGAGCCCCACAGCCCAGGGTTTTAGCCACACTGTGGCACTGCCCTGTGTGAGGGCTCCTTGCCAAACATCCTGTCCTCCCTTTTTCTGGAAATCCACATGCTTCATGTCAGGACGCCTAACTCAAATTGAGCTGCCTTGAAAATATTGAAATGTTCAGATTGAGAACTATTCCCAGCACAGTCATTCAAGGGGAAACAGCTCCAGGGCCATTACACAGAAGGAGGGGGCGTTGTCTGTATTGATCAGTTTGCTTGTTAGCCTCTTTTTGCTATTTTTTTTTTTTTATGAGACCAAGTCTCACTGAGTTGCCCGTGCGAAAGTGCCGTGGCATCAGCCTCACTCACAGCAACCTCAATCTCCTGGGCTCAAGCGATCCTCCTGCCTCAGCCTCCCGAGTACCTGGGACTACAGGCATGCACCACCATGTCCGGCTAAATTTTTTTCTACATATATTTTTTAGTTGGCCAATTAATTTCTTTCTATTTTTAGTAGAGATGGGGTCTCGCTCTTGCTCAGGCTGGTTTCGAACTCCTGACCTCGAGCAATCCTCCAGCCTCGGCCTCCCAGAGTGCTAGGATGACAGGCGTGAGCCACCGTGCCTGGCCTGTCCCTTTATATTGACACTAAACACATTCTGGTTATCTCTCACTCATAACAGAAAACCTAGTGGCTTGCAACTACACTTTATTGTTTTTATATTTCATGAGGCTCGGGGTCAGAACTGTGGTCAGGACACAGCAAGGGTGGCTTGTCTTTGCTCCAGGATTTCCGAAGCCTCAGCGGCGTGCACGTGGGGTCCCTCTTGCTCACGGTTGTCACAGAGCTCTCCGTGTGCCTGGCTGCGCTTCCTCATGGCCTGGCGTCCTCAGGGCAGTGGGGACGTGTACACGGCAGCCCAGGGATCCCGTAGACCAAAATAGAAGCTGCCGGTTGCTCCAAAAACAGGCCTGGACACCTGCTAGCCTCATTTCTGCCCTGCTTGACTGCCCCAAGCAGCCAGATTCCAGGGGAGCAAAAGCAGGCTCCCACCATGCTACGGGGAGGGTGTCAAAGAATTTGAGGACATCTTTTAAATAACCCAAATCATTTTCTAGGTACTTAAATACACACCTGATCTTTTCTCCAAGGCTGTGAGATCTGAGGTATGATTCCCTTAATAGTTCCCATGATAGGCCAGGCGCGGTGGCTCACGCCTGTCATCCCAGCACTCTGGGAGGCTAAGGCAAGAGGATCGCTCAAGGTCAGGAGTTCGAAACCAGCCTGAGGAAGAGCGAGACCCCATCTCTACTAAAAAAAATAGAAAGAAATTAATTGGCCAACTAAAAATATATAGAGAAAAAAATTAGCCGGGCATGGTGGCACATGCCTGTAGTCCCAGCTACTCGGGAGGCTGAGGCAGGAGGATCGCTTGAGCCCAGGAGTTAGAGGTTGCCGTGAGCAAGGCACTCTAGCCTGGGCAACACAGTGAGACTCGGTCTCATAAAAAAAATAAAATAAAATAAAAAAATAGTTCCCATGATGCCTAATACAGTGTCTTGCTGAGTAATTTTTGTTATGTTAATGAACAAATGGTTTAATAGATGCTTCTTGCCAAAGGCAACCACACTTAATTTTACATTCTATATAGAGTGGAAAAAAATCAGGGGCTGGAATTCTTATTTTTGAGGCTACTGGAGAGATTTTGAGAGTAGACGACTATGTTCTTTAGAAGGCAGGCCGTGGGCACGAGTCTATAGTATTTATGATGCGGATTACGGGTAATCAATTAGGAACTGTATTGAACCGATCTTTCTAATTGGATTCCAATGAAGCACCTGCTTTCTGTCAAACTCCGGCTTATGAGTGGCACGTAGCATAGAAACCCATTCCCCATCGATTTTCGATGCTGCTTAATGGTTTGTTTTGCTGAGTCAATCAAATCTAAATCTGTAGTAACCGAATAAAGTGCTCGCCATTAAATTTGTTTCTTCAGTTCTGGGCTCTGAGGTTACATAATATCAGGTTTTTAGAAATTAAACCCTTGTTTAAATACCAATTTTCCTTCTGAAAATTTAAGAGCATCCCTTCCAATTTAACCATCATCATATTATGAAACATACTGCCTTTCTTCTTAATAGGAGAGCATTGAAAGGTTTTGCAGAATATAAAATACATTTTTTTTTTTGACATGAGAGTTTCACTCTGTTGCGCGGTTAGAGTGCCGTGGCGTCAGCCTCCGCTCACAGCAACCTCAACTCCTGGACTCAACGATCCTCCTGCCTCAGCCTCCAAGTATCGGGATAAGGCACTTGCCACCATGCCCGGCTAATTTTTTCTATTTTTTTTTAGTTGTTTGGCTAATTCCTTCTGTTTTTAGTAGAGACAGGGTCTCGCTCTTGCTCAGGCTGGTCTCAAACCCTGACTTGAGCGACCTCCTGCCTTGGCCTCCAGAGTGCTAGATTACAGGCGTGAGCCACCGTGCCCGGCCTACAGAAATGTTTAACGTCTTCTTTATTTACAGAAAGAAAATTATGAGCCCGATGTTTCCAGCTTTTCATATGGACATGTAGAAATCCTTAGTTTCATCAAGAGGAAAC